CAGGTGAATTGGTGTGGGAATAAAGCCACCTGCACACACTCCCATGTAAACTGTCAGTTCTTTCGTAATGATTCGCCTGCTATGTACAACCGCAGTAGTCAGCTTCACGGCCCGATTCCCATGAGGTGTTTGCAAAAATTTAAATCACTGTCCAGTGTGGACAACAGAACTTAATGCGCCCTAGGGAAGACGAAGTTCGCTACTCACTACCTAAATATTTGTTAGTAGACAAAATGAAAAAAGCACTGCGAAGTACATATAAGGTCAGCTGGATAGGTGTTCGTGAAGATTGGATGGTAAAAAAATAAACTATCAGACCTGACCAGTACTTGGTGTAGCTTAAAAGCTCTAGGCTCTGTACAATCCTCAAAGGAGGAGTTCAGTGGTGATATACTCCTTCAAATCACATGGGATTCTAATCAAGACAAAGTATGAATATTTCAATAGTCCCGATGAGTCACCGCCAAGGATCTAATATAATACGCTTCTGTTTCACTCTCAGAGTTAAATTGTTTTTTTATTCAAATTTATTGTGCGAAAATATTCTAAATTGTGCTAGTATGGCTTCTATGACGCGAATGCACGTTAACTCCCCCGAAGATTTGAGAAGGACAAAAAATGATCACCATGAATGAAGCCCCCACTACTAAAGATACGACGAAATGCTCCATAGTATATCAAGTAATCTAGTGCTATTTATTTCTAAGTTCAACGGCAGTTATTGCATTGAACATCCTTTGAGATAAGAACTTACGGCCCGATCATCCTCATCCTCATCAACTGAGTGCTCATTTGATGTCATTACATGACATGCACTATTCATTTTTCACTTTATGGGAAGTTTAGATTCATTAGTATTTGTACTTTGAACTATAATGATGCGGAAAAAGGTGTGAAGGGAAAAGTTTGCACCTATATTAGGTGTATATTGTAGCCCACCATCTAATGCCCGTCATTTATCTGAAACCATCACAATCGCGAATAGTTACCACCTGGTAATATTCACAAATTCTTAACTACTTTCAAAGACAGAAGGTCTTGAGGGTATCATCCTATCACTCTGTTTCCATCCCAAGTAAATTACTACTTTTAGGAGATCTAGTTTATACTTCAATGAATAACTTATTGACTGACCTATTTATTTTCATCATTTAGTTGTAATTTACCAACTGAGAATTATTCAGTCGAATGATTTGCACATTGTGTTAGCATTTCACGTGGTTCAGCACAAGACATTTCTTATCATGCCTAACAGACACGAGACGAAGTACACATCGTCCACAACATCCCGTTTACTTAGAAGTAATATATCACCCATGAACCCATCGAATAATAATATCATGGAGCCTAGAGCCGTTAAGCTAAACCAAAATGTTAGTCAAGTGTGCTGACGTCCTTCTTTACCTCCAATTTCCACGTACATTTGTCTAGCTTACTCATTTATGTTGTGATAATTTCTTAGGTTTGCGTACTAACAAGCGTCTGAGTATTATTTCGCGGCGTTCGACCTCTCCGTGGAGTACTTACGTTGTACATTCGGTAGGCTGCACACCTGTTGCATTTAACTGCTTCTGCATCTTAGTTTCTTAATCACGGATTCTGGTATCCGATTGGCCTCCACGGTGTTGCACAAGTGAGTTCACGGTACGGTTTACATTGAGATGTGGATAGCTTCAGCGTATTATTTGCGCTTGCTCCGTACGAGAACCATAGTGATGCACAGAATCACAATTACAGTGTGTTGAAAAAATTGAGACTGTCTTTTGGAATTTGCAAACTCCTACTCTACCTGTACACACTGAAGGAAACGGAATGTTCAGCTGACTGAATTTGCAAATGTTTCAGTAAATTTGCAGCAAAAATAACTAGGGCGAAATAATTTTTATTTCTTCGTAGATTGAGATATGGTATAAAATTAAAACAATAAATGCAAGAAAAATTAAATTGTGAACGAAAATGCCGACCTCCTGTGACCGAGGGTAAAACGCACTTGTTCGATTAGTTGACAAAAGAATGTGATGCTCATGAATAATAGACGAAGCTTGTCGAAGACACTGTGACATTTAATAATATGATGACAGTCAGTGCATTGAGGTGAATAATTTTTATTTGTGCATATAAATAAATGAAGTGCATTTCGAATAGGATTCACGACTGTATATTAGTTCAAAACTAATAGTGGCAGTGAGTCAATAACATTTGGACAGCAATCATTCGTTCTGTGATAGTCCTGGTATGAAGACAACATAGAATGACAAAACTGACAAAAGAATTCATTAGAACTGAGAAACAGAGCACGGAAATCTGTGGTTGGGCTGAGTATGCAGTCACGCCGTGATGCCCATGTGAGATCTGTTCAGCCGGACGACGGGAGTTGTAGACCAGCCTCGTCTGTCCAGACTGCGACCATCTGGTTTTTGTAGTAAATACCATCGAAGCACACTGAAACGAATAAGGGATTTCAAATAAGTTTCGACTAGATTCGCTACAAGTGTCAGATATTGTGTCTGCAGTTTGAAGAATCATGTAATAATGACATTTGTAAATTAGGCAATATGATAATTTTATCATTGATCATGCAGTCATGTGTCAGAAATTCGAACGTGAATAGTTCAGCATGGATCGTGTTACAAAATGCGATTAGGGTCAGTACTTACAATTCCAGTCGTCAACCGTGAATTCTGCACACATCTTCCCGGATAGATTCTTGTTAAAAGTCCGTGTTTCCTCCCATGGGAGATATGTTGCATTTGTGTGGTTCTTCCCATCAATGTAATTGCGATACTCAGATAGGGATATTCCAATCCACTGGTCTCTCAAATCTCTGGTACTCAAAATGCTACTCCGCTCTGGACCCACAGCGAAGAAACGTTTGTCTTCGTTTTGGTAGGTTATTATCTGCGATATCATTGGGCCCAGATCTATAACAGAAACGATTAATGAATGACGACAGTGCAGTTAACGAGTGCCGTTTCGGCTCAGTAAATTTTAAAAGTGGTATTAATTGAATCGGCAGGTTGTCACTCACCGAACCACGTTAAACGATTCCCGTCAACAAGACCAGTACATTTCATTCTGGGATAGGAGAATGTGGCCAATTGCGGGACTGGATGGCAGATAATCAAAATATCTTTCACACGAATATACGATCGATTAAATAACAGCAGTGATTGTGGGAGTGTGGGTCCCCCTTCCGGTGCCAGTGTGTACGGTTTAATGCAAGGATCTAGAAAAGGAGATTGGTTCAACAAAGGACAATGGGTGACGTGTAATGCGGATAGGTCATTCTGTAGCATATTATTAGAGGGAAAGGTAATATTTATTTTTTAACTATCGTTTACCAATCACTTAAAATAGTTAACATTGTGAGTCGGCAATTTTTTCGGTGCAGTTTAACTTTCAGCTTTCAGTGACCAGATTTCCCCAAATGTTAGGTAACATTCCTAGCGAGGATGCAAAAAGAAACACAGCTATTTGGAACTCACCAAATTGGTGAATGTCTCTTTTATAAGGTACGCCATATAGATGGACAGAAAATTTTGTTATTTCACTTTTGATCACTGGCTTCGTAGGTATGATTCTAAGTCCTCGGGCTTGGAACGAGTGTTTGAAGACACAAATATGCGAGTTGTCGTGGTATGCATTGAAGGTACACTGAAAAGAAGGCACAAATGAAAAGGAAAGTTTCGGTTGAAATGAGTTCGATAATCTGGATGTCTGAATGATAGATACAGCTATTCAGTAAATATCTGGAAGACTTCAAACGTGTACAAGAGTTTCGAACTAGAGCATCTACTTCCATTTAATTACTCTGAACGAGAGTAAGCATATTCCAGAACTGGAGAGTGTGATTATCTTTTCCAAGTTTGATTCACCTGTTTTGCTTCGGGCAGTTATTTAATATTGCAATAATTTACGGAATTCTCTCCGAAATCGGATTACGTTGAAGGAATGGAAATGGGTATTTTCGAAATTCATTTCGGCGACAGCAAATTCTATGTACGGTCAATAAAACAAACCTCTTTGATATCAGAAAATGCTCTTCCATCTGAGGTGATCGAGATATGGCTGGAGAACCATCTGTCCCCAAAGTTCGGTAAATTTATCAGGATTTATTATATATCACTCGCCCTTCCCAGTAGTATGGTCAGGTGTCGTCGATTGAAAGGCGATTTATTTGTACGCGCGGTTCCGGTGGTCGTTAGAGGCACAGATTCTGTTGTTTGGTATGCGGATGTCCATGTTTGGACTTGACAATCCGCAGTTTCACTCGGAGTGTGGTCGATCAGTTGTTTGAATTGGTCTGGTTTTAAATACGAAAGATAATCCAACACTGAATCAGTAATATGAAAACAAGCTGGTAATCAGAAAAGTGTGGGATAAACAATCATGGGACTCTCGAGAAATCATAGTAGGACATACTTTTCTCTAAAATGAATGGAAGTGTTTTATTCGAAATAATGTGCCTAAGCACTACTTAATTCAATAATATTCGATACTATAATTTATAATCTAATTTTCTTTTGAGTCACAATTTGTAACCCATCCATCACACAGATTCCGATCGCAGCTGTCAATGGTTTTTAAACCATATTTACCTCTTTGAATTTGTACTTCACTCAGTGTTCAACAGTGAACCTTTATTCAATAAATTACTAGCGGTTTTATTGTCATTCACTTAAATGATAATACATTACAATTTATTGATGATGATTTGTTGCAAACAGAAACAGTAGAACAATACAAATGAAAGATATTACAGTTGTCAAATGAGATGAACATGCCATTTGAGCGTTACTTACTGCGTTCGGAATGTAAGATCACATGTTCTATGGTATGAACTGTAGCCCACGGATGTTTATCGATGGGGAATTGCAACTGGCAGTACAAAATCATAGTGAAAGACAATATCCTCAGCCGAAGGTGTGAACTAAAATCAAATAGTTCTGTAAATCGGACATTGACCGAGAAATTCCATGTGTCCATTGAGACGAAATCTTCTATCTGAAACGGAAGCCAACATCATGAGATTGTTGTGTACACTATACACGTTATTTCCTATGCATTTTGTAATTCAGGATTGAGGAAACAGAAGGGATCATTCATGTCTGTGTTTTTGGAGTAATAAAATAACCACTTTGAAATTGTATCGTGGAATAATTTGCGCCGATAAAGATGTAGAATTATTTCAAAGCAACTTGACACTTTTATATAACCCTCGAGTTTATTTCGAATATAATCATATATTTGTGTGATTACCCTACTTTTATGAATAATGAAACCAGTGAACCGAGTCCCATCTGGTACACAAATGTGAAACCAGCGATTCCGCCTTAAAAATTTCTAGTCACTATCTGGACGACTAACTAATCGTTACATTTTTGTGAGGGATGTTTCAGTTCCTTTATCACTAAGGTTGAAATCGATGATGCTTCTCACTTTCTGAAATCTTTCCATCTGACTGGTATCCCAATTATTTCACTGCTCAAATCTGGTTAGAACCATAATCCCTAATCGATGAAGGGTCTGCTATAGTTATACTGTAGAATGGTTTTCGAATACTGAATGTCAATATTGGAGGAAATGTGAATTTTGATGGTTGTACAATTCAAAATATTATGCACACATCGGTTTGTACAACAAATCTTAAGTTGGGAATTCGAATGGTACTTACAAAATAAATATATTGGTAATATGAACATCATTTATTATTTGAACTAAATGGAATCATTTCATGAGAAAGACTGAAAAGATGGAAACAGCCAAAAACCTCGATTCATAATATATTTCGGTCACTGAACTAACGAGGATATTCCACTTACGCGTATCTCCATTCGTCGAAGATCTGTCTTGTTCAACTTGGCATTCATTTTGTTGGTATCAACCAGCACTCCATCGACGACCCATGGTCCAGCATGAAGATCCAGCATTGTTAATTTGCATTCGCATTGGGACCGTTCCGTATTCTTCAATGTCGTATTTATTTGGACCGTGTCACTGGATTAGGTTTGGGAAGTAAAGTTGTTTAAATAGGAAAAATCTAAAAAAGTATAGTAGATTCGAAATCATCATGTAACAGGAAACGGGTAGTTTTTTTTAAAGATGAAATCTGTTAAACACCTAAACAAACTAATCCAAGCAAAATAGTTGATACGGTATTGAATTTGTTGAACGGGACAATGAAACGCCAGAAGTGCTGCATAAGTGGAATAAAGCATCCAACATTAGTTTTGGTAATTTATTTCTACCCATGATTTTCAAATCTGGTTTCATCTGGGGCATATAAGGTTTTCCGTCATGAAAGTTGGGTTCTCTGTGTTTTATCATGAAACACAGTACTGTGTCCAGGCAGTGCTCATTGCTGAGCCCTGAATATGACACTATATTTTGCTGCGCAAATGTGTGTTGCAGGCTTCTCGTTCAAGTTTTACCCTTGTGTGCTCTAGGATAGCAAGCATTAACAGTTTTCTGATGCTGATCGGGATATGTTACAAGAAATATTACGGACGTTTCATGTTCTGTTTTTTAATGCCAAATTGTGAATCACAGTGACACCGAATATATATAATGAGCACATGCTTAAAAAGTGTGCAGACAACGCAGAGACTACGATGTTAGATGGTACCACATTTGAATAGAATGAAATCACCCACGCTCATACTGTTCTCCAGAAAACAAGCACCCCAACCTCACTGGAATGTTCATCACCCGAAATTCTCCGTTAGTTCACAACTATTCTATCAGTAGTAATGTAAAATCCTTGTCCGAAATCACCCAGTTAGTCCTATGAGCTTGTTACCAAGATAGTTTTTTAACGAGCTAATTATTCACCTCTACTTATAACAGCTGGTCTGAATTTATGCTGAAAGCGCGGGTTCGGGGAAACATTCTCTACTACCCGGTACTAAAGTTCATCGGAGAGGATATTCCACAAAGGAAAATTGCGTTGGTAAAATCATCCAAAAGGAGTTTATCTTTTTGGCGGGGGTTGAAAAAATGTACTTTTGTTCGTTTTACCTGAAGTAAACTGGAATGGGAAGACCCTCATGAGATCACAAGCCCCGTTACCTTTCTTGTGATGACCTTGTAAGACAATTTTATGTCGGTGTATCTTCTAATATGAAGATAAATTCAAAGATATTAAGTCGTAAGCAAATCGTTATTTCTTGCACTGTTGACGTCTAGTACTAAATTCGATCTTTTAAGGGAGAAAATGCACAGGAACATGCTTAACCGGCTTCTCAACATACGACTGATTTTGAGTGAATACATGCGTAGTGCAAAACATTGTTCGATGAATGTTGGAGAGTGAAGTAATACTGTTTCTCGTGCGCTGTTCTTCGACTCGTTGTCGATCGCAACAGACAACTACGTTCATGAAGCAAAAAAATTGTTCGCTTTGAAAAGAGTGAGTTGCAACTTAAATTCCTTGAAAATAACTCTCCTGCACTAAGCAGAAATGCCAAAAATTTTCCCGTAGTGCTCATGCCTCACCGGTCAGTAGCAGTTCCTACTATGCTGGCCCTCATCAACCGGCTTATCATTCAGTTTATCAGTGTGACACACTCACAGGACGCCATGTCAGTTACCTGTATATCTCTATGCGCAACAATCTTGGTCTCGGACTATCTACCCTTTCCTCCTTCATTGTACCATGCTTTGTTTGGCACGCAGTATGAAATTAGTTTGGTGTGAAATAGCAGCCTTCATCTAGTAATGCTCAAAACGAGGTCTCCTTAAATTTTCCCTCATGCCAGCATTCTGTTTCACATGTTGGTAGGGATATTTTGCAAACTGAGTGGTACATCTTCTGGGTTGGTCCTGCGTCAGCGGTGGTCCAATGCCACCGAATACCACTCCATCACTGTTAAAAATAAACACTGCGTAATTCAGTAGTGTAAGGTGGCCAACCTCCTCCGAGACGGTTATTTATTTTGACGCTATTTCAGTAAAGACTGTTCATATTCATTTCAGCAGTTTCCTTCCGTTGTATTACTATTGAGCTGTCATATTTTTCCACTCATAAAATTGCAACATCAGCTGTGGCTATACTTCCAGCTATTATTCAGTTAGTGTGAACACAAGAGGGAGTTATTCGCAAAGAGTACAGCGTGAATACTTGAAGTTAAATCTGCGTTACTCTGAGCGCAAGAATATAACAAAAATATTGCATTTTTACCAGGGTCATGGTGTAAATGAAATGACTGAACAGTTAAACTCACAATAACTACACTCGTATTTCCGTCCGACTTACCCTGGATAGACATCCGAAGTGTTGATATACATTTTCAAATCTAGATCCGTGATAGGTTGACCTTTGTGGAGCACATCTACTGTTGCATTTTTCGAAATCAATTGCTCATCAAAACGGGATTCAAACTGAATGGTGATAGTCTTCTTGGTTTCTACTTCCATGCAGTGAGTCGCTCTTAGTTCGATCTCCAAATTGATTGTATTTGCATCTCGTCCTTCGTCTTCAGCCAAATCTGGAGGAGAAAAGAGAATTTTCTACAAGCAGTGATGCCTATTCCATGATCAAGATCTCCTAGACAAACTTATCAAATGTAAAGCTTTCAGCAATACTGCACTGCTTTTCAGTAGAAACATGAGTGATAAGAATTAACACGGAGATGAGCAACTGACATATGAGCAAGTTTAAATTTTTGTTCCTATTTATTATTCGCATCTTGCCAAAAACCGAATCAGGAAACTGAATATCCTTCTGTGACAAATATCTGACTGGTCCACCAATTGGCCGAGTATTTAGATCGGTAAATAGAAGTGCAATGTTGAATGGAAAAGCACGCATTTAGGCAGCTCTTTGACGCCCAAGATCAAAAGACAGCTAATCAGCTGTCTAACTCACTGATGTGCACAGATGATAAATACCATCAAAGAAGAACTCCGTGCGGTGCGGAATACATTCATAATGGATAGTCTGAACATTTAATCAACCAGATGATTTAGAAAGACAGGAAAACTCAAGGGAAGGTAATGGTGGAGATAGAGCCAGTGAACATCTCTCTACCATTTATAAGTGACACACTGAAAAATACTGTGCAAAAACCATTGTTCATGCTGCCAGACTGCGTGTTCATTCACGGCGGTGTGTTTGCGGTTGCAAGTCAATGTGCCTGACTCGGCAGTCTCATTGCTTGTGTATTCCTGTATATGCTTTTGTGAAACAATACATTTTGCGGTCTCACGACCAGACTCCTGGCTGAACACATTCGCGAGCAACTTCCAACGCCGTTGAGGTTTGGAACTGATTTTCCAACTACGAGAGCATTCGTTACATACCTAGCTGAGTCTAACCAAACGGTGAGTGTAACGGCACTGTCCACCTCCGGGATAGGGTTTGTGTTGATCCGTTCAGAACGGTGAGGTACCATAATTTGGTCAGGGCGTTAGCCACCGGAATTCGTCTTCGCACCCCCCCCCCCCTACCATTTCCTGTTAGAGGCCAGAAACAATGTATACATGAACAAAGTCTATGGTGGCCCACTCACCACTCACGGCAGGTCCTAAATAGTCTGAAAGCTAACACAATGAATGAGTGATAATAGGCCAACCTCCGATCTCTCGATTTACCTCTTCTGAAAAGGTGTGAATAATAACACTCTCATACACATTAAGTTGATTGAGAAACACTGAAACAGAGCTAGTTTTACGGTGTTTTTCTTCCCAGTGTAGTCTTATTCATCAATTACGTGTTCATCCATGTGTGATGTACTAAGACCAAACAAATCATTTGTAAAGTCCAGTGAAAAACTAATGACAGAAAATAAACTCAGAAAGTGACAATTCCTTTGAAATAGAAGGCCTTCTCACCGGAGGATTTGATAGTTGTGAAATTGATTTGCACCCGATTCTGCTGGACTACGTTAAACTCAGTGATATTGGAGATGCTTGTATGGCCAATTTTAATTTGTTTTCCGTTGCTCAGACGGAACACTTTGACAGTACACTGCGGCTTATCGGACTCCTCGGATTTTGGACAAATCATCATCAATGACGTTTTCAAGATCATACGGCCTCCCGGAATGTAGATTTCAAGCTTGACAGATTTAGGTCTGTTCATTTCAACCTCCCCAATGTGCTCCGGGATATTTACCGTTATCTGAAAGTGAAGAACGTCGGAAACTGTAAAGTTCCGTTTTCAAGGGTGAGCAGAATATTCGGATGTTTTCAAAATATCTCACAAGACGAAATAATGGAATGTGAACAGATCCCGGAGAACGAACTCTTGAAGGAACATTTTGATTATATTTGATTAGTCGAAGAAAAGAAGCATCAAGTGCGTATCTCAAACTGAGAAAGCTATCGGCGAGAGACAGTTGGGCCTCGCTAACGGTTAGCACGTTAGCGTTTGTCCAAAGTCCAGGTCACGTTTTGAATGAACGGGATCTCACACGACTGGACAATGGATCCATGAGACAAGAAAGAATTCAGCTTAAGTGTTGGCTAGCCATACTAATAATCAAGCAATTAGTGGAAACACTGACCAATGCCAGTTTGGACCAGTTAGTTTGTCGTGCGACCATCGGTGATGGTGAGTCTTACATTCTGTGTTATCTGTCTGTTATGTGTCGATATTAGTAGATTGTTCGAAGGCGGAATAGTATTCAGACAAGAATTAGTGGACAGCCACACAACACGACATCCACCACACAGAGCTAATTCTTGAGTTGAATGTCCAAGACAGGATTTATCTGTGGCTTAACCAGTGTCGACCGGTAGAACTACCGGACATACCTGGTTATAGAATGTGGGTAGCTTTCACTAATCAGTTCGAATCGCGCCGAAGTCAACCCCATTGTAATGTTTTCTCGCATTTGATGTATATAAAGAACGACAAACGTATCCGTCATAATTACAGATGGAGATTAATCTAACCCGATTTCCCTCAGGTTGTGCTAGGTGCACACCGAAAGTCACCAGCAATCAACAGAAGCTATTATTCAACAAGTAAATCTGTGCCGTGGATTCCACGGTGAATGTTAACAAGCGTGTTTTCTTTCTGTAGGCTTTCACAGTCACCTCTCATCCGAAATGACCTGACTGAAACGACGGGTCGAAGATTTCCGGTGTATGGACTGCGCCATCGACGCCAATATGTTGACGTTCCAAAAGGTCACAAATTTTGTTGACCTCAAATGACCCTTCCATTACCGACGAAACACAGAGCCATTCTTCACGCAGTCCATCACAGTAAACGTGCAGACACATACATAGAAGTATACGCAAGCCTTGTTCGAAACTCGATGAATTTAAATTATTATTATCCCATTTGAACCGGTCTTGAGAAAGGTTGCCCGCGGTAACCTAAACCACCAAGAATTTCAGCAACACGGAGAAATTTCTTTTCCATATATCACTTCAGACAATTACGTATATAGTATTGGGCAAAGGAGAGTATATGTGCAGCTATAGATAGGAGCTAGTGAGTAAGTGAAAAACAAATCTGGTAACTTGACAACATGCTTCAATTTGATCAAATTTGTCCGTTTTGTGAACAGCAGTAAGTGTGAAATGTGTAACCACATGGCTTTATCTCTCGGACCTAAGTTTTGCTCAACTCAACCACGTTATCATCCGTTGGAAATTGAAACTCAGTTCCAAGGTTTAATGAGCCACTTGTATGACCTGTTACCACCATCATCGAACTCAGTTGACGGCCTGAAAACATCACTTGTTTATGAATGTTAAAAGCATCATACGAGTAAATCTTCTTTTAATGGAATATTTACCAAGCAACATCGAGAAGCAATCGAAGAACTATTGAACAAACAGGACTAACTACTGTCAAAACCAGATAGAGTTGCTGGATGTGTCTTACTAGACCGAGGCGGCTACGAAGAAAAAATGATTTCTGTTTTATCTATTGAGAGCAAATTCATTTACAATCCGGGTGAGAAAGACAAAACACAAGAAACCGAGACAAATTGACAGAGAACTTGAAACAGCTTAAGTCAGACAACGCCATTTCCAAATCGCTCTATGACAAGCTTGTGCTCTGCGGCTCGCAACCACGTAGACTCTACGGATTAACAAAAGTGCAAAAACCAAGTATACCCCAAAGACCGGTGACTGACATGAGCACCTTAGCCTATCACGCCACAGATCAGTGGATTGCAGAAATTCTTGAACATGTGCGCAAGTCACTGGCAAGGTGTAGTGTGAAAGATTCGTCCGCTTTTGTGTGGATGATAAAACATCAGGATCTGTCTGAACGGACTATGCTTTCCCTAGATGTGGAGTCTTTATTCACAAGCATCACATTGATCGAGACAGTCGATTTCATCTGGCAATACTTGACCGACATGGACATCAAACTCAACATTCCCGTGATCAAGCTAAAAGAACTAATCCTTGGATGTACATGGAATATAAAATTTCTGTACAGTGGAAAATACTGCAGCCAGAAGGATGGGGTAGCAACGGGACCATTGCTTGAACCCCTTCTGGCAGATGTATTCTTTGCCAAACTCAAAAGTGGACCAATCCGCAGCACCATCGACAGTCCATACCAGATACATGGGCTACACTTTCATAATTTGTGACTGAGCAAAAGATTTTACCGAACTACTGTAGACATTCGGCTGTGCCCATGCAATGACCCCATTTACAATGAAGATAGAGAAGGACAGTTTTCTCACTTTTTTTGATTTGGGATAATGTAGAATGGAGGACGGACGTATAGAAAAAGGGGTGTATCGGAAATGCAAATGGTTGGGGCAATACACACACTTCCTACGTTTTGTCCCCCTAAGGTACCAAAGTAGCCTAATGAGCTGTCTGGTCCACGGAGCAGGAAACATCTGTAGTCCTGATACAACTGCCCAAGAACTTGAACACATACATGATACATAAATGAAAAATGGCTATCCAGACCCGTATATTCGTTAACATATGAAGGAGAGAAGACAAAAAACAAGAGTGCGAATGGCCAAGAAAATGGATGTCTTCCTATTTCTCCGTTCAAGTTTGACAAGACACTAGAAATGCTGCCGCTACACTTATCTAAGGCCCTCGGGAAGTCCGTTCTCGCTGCACTTGTCCGAATCTTTACAAATACGAAGCCTTCTATAGTTCAACAATCCAAGGACAGGTTATCTCATCAGTTCCAACCTCTTATTCTATACCCATTACGTGCTCTCGTAGTGCGCAGTGTATTGGACATACGACGAGACTTCTGTTTAGGAAGATATTGGAACACGTTTCGGCTTCTTTACTCAAAGAGACACTTCGGACCATCAATATAGCAATCCTACAACATTTAGTGGATAGTGGAGATCAATTGGACACAGTGACAGCCGTCAAACCAGTCCTGGCAACTCCCAGAGTTCACACGAAAGTATTAAGCGGGCGGCTGCTCATGCCATCAGAAGCCACAACAATTTGATTATTGAAGCCTGAATAGTGCAAGCAACGTAACCTTGTGCAACAGTTGTTGTTGCAAAGACCGTAACAAGTGATTCTATCATGGTTCCCATATACAAGTTCTCTCCAGCCAATCATCTCTTTTAACACACCTTCGTTTTTCACACCTGTCTTTTCACGCCATATGGCTGAACATTTCACGCTTACTGCAAATCACGCGACGGACAAAATTCATCAGGTTGAAGCATGTTGTCAAGTTACCAGATTTGTTGTAAACTTACTCATGCACTCCTATCTATAACTGCACATACACCCTCCTTTGCCCAATACCATTTACGTGAATGTCTGAAGTGATATATGGAAAAGAAATTTCTCCGTGTTACAAGTTCTTTCATGAGTCGATGGGCATATTAAACGAGTTGCGACAACAACGTTAATGAATTTTAAATGCTTCATTATTCAGCTTAATCGAAATTACTTGTGGGTAGTGTGTGAGATTGATGACATATTGCTTGGTTGACTGTTCTTTGGACTCCACATTTCAAGTACAAACCTCAGGTCATCCGACCAACCCTGCATTTGGAAGCATTAGACTCAGGTCAGAGCTATTGTTAGAGCTCATCAGTGGTGCATATCGTCCGCCTAATCCAGGGTATAAACCATGGCCTTTTCACTTGGAATGCGTATGTGTTACTACGGCGCAACCCTGCTTATCTTCGGGCTGATCCAGATCACCGAGTTATGTTTGTTCAGATGTCATCCTCTATGACAGCCAGGAATGCTTGACCGTCGGCCGAACAAAGTGTCATGAATCTCACACAATACTCGGAATGATTGGAATATATATATATATATATATATATATATATATATATATATATATATATATATATATATATATATATATATATATATATATATATATATATATATATATATATATATATATATATATATAACCGAGAGCAATGTAGGTTTAAATGTGGGCACAATGAACCATCCTGTAGAGATATCTTGATTTGTTGGGAGACATTCGCTTGGAGTTACCGCGATAACGACGGGAAGTAAAACAGGTTCATACAAAACCATCCAGTTTATTCTTTCGCTTCTCTATTCGTGGATTCGAATGGCACAGTGCAAGAGAATAATCACCTTTAGGATTAGCTGAACTTTTCGGAGGTGACTACTCATCGATCAGTTGTGCATTCAATGACTCTCATTTTCACCAACCACTTTCGTGAAAACATACTTTTTCCGATGATCGTCTTTCCCTTTTGAGTAGGACTTCTTCTGAGGTGTTCCTTATCCAGTATCGAAGGCCAGAATTCTCGATTGTTGCATGTTGACTGGACATTTTGCAGTCGACGAATGGGCGCTTTTGTTCATCGGTAACGGAAACGACCACTGAAACGCCAATCTACACAGGCAAGGAAACAAAAGCGAATGTACAGGCTCAGCACACAATAAATCAGTTGAAAGCGGCTGTAAAAGACGTTTTATGTTCAGATAAATATGGCTCAATTTGTATACACCCAGAAGGGACTGAACTGACACTGCATTTTGAACATCTATTCACTTTGCTGGCCTAAAATTCAGCCTAAATCACAGGAAGGAAACGTTGCTCAGTACGATACTGCAAATAAAGTTTGTGCATGTTAATCTTTCTGAACAATAGTATCAGTCCGGTTGATAGCGTGACCTGTTCTAACTTGCAAAACACTTATTTCTACGGGGTGTTATGCAGTAGAGAAATGTGGAATGTCTTTTCATTGTTGAAGAAACTTCTAATCAACGTTAGCCGAATGCCCTCATGTTCATCTTTGCTACCATTTTCCAGTAAAAATAGAACAAATCCGAGGACCAATATTTTTTCTTTTATATATAGATATATATACAGTAGTCTCCGTGAGATTGCTACCCTCCTGAATGAGATAACCTCTCTGCAAGAAAATGTTTTCTACAGAAGACTTAAACCATGTAATATGCCCATCAGAACCGAACAAGAAATACTTTCATTAAGAATTTATCCCCAAAGAAGAAACTCTTCTGAGTTAGATATGATAATTCCCTTTCCTGATCATAATTGGTCCTAGAGATATGGTGTCGGTTTTCCTGTCGGTTACCACATTTGACCTGCTAGAAGCTTAGGCGATTCTTCATTCCAAGTCTCACAGTCCGGTTGGTGGCTATCGCTAATGGTTCAGTGGGCTCTGAGGCCATGAACGGTGCCTTAGCCACCGAATTCGTGCGCGCCCATACAGCAGAATAGGTTAGAATCACCAGGCCGCTGGGTTTGGTGAGTTCCAATCACGTCGACTGAGGTTTATATGGGTCACTCAGCAATAGTGGTAAAATTATTCGGTTATTTCGTTGATGACTGCGGAATAAGCCCATCATAGTACTCAGAACACGAGTTGTAGGCGAACATATGCTTTCGGTGATTTCATTCTCGAGTCATTACAGTCACATTTATATGAAAACGAATTATTAAGAAGAGTTGCAAAAAGTCTCACTAGGTCAATGTGGATAATTAAGGATGAGGAGGGATGGAACCCTGTGTGAGTGACCAGATTATGTAACCGGTGCTGATTAGTTTACGTCACCGCTGCGCCCGGTTGGGTAACACAGTTGAGTGTTGGCCATGGGAGTTGTAGTGCTTGGACTAATTTTCGCTGCGCGCAAAGCTCAGGCTTCAAGAAGCGGATGATAATTGCCTCGGCATTCGCTTGTATCCGGAGCCTAATTGCTCTTGACACGTTGTGGGACCCGGTAGACGACTTTGAAGGCGGACTGGATGTCGATTGAATGCCCAGTTTTCAACAAGGGCGAGACGATTGAGCTTGATACTACTCCATTGCCTCCGTGTCTAAGCCATCGTAGGTGATGCTCCTTGATGCGTTTTGATAGCTGTCTTGCAGTTCGACCTATGGAAGCAGCACCACAGGTGCGCCTAAATTGATAGATGATCATGGATGAGGTCAACAACGGCAGCTTATCTTTATTTTCACATCGGATTTTTGGTGACGTGAAAAAGACGCATCTGGTCTTGGCCGCGTTGAAGGTGGACTTAACCGTGGCACTCAAAAATTTACAGACTCTTTCGGCTGCGACATCTCCCTTGAAGGGGAGTCGGATGAATAATACTTTCTTTTCTGCTTGTGTGATTCTCGCTGGTTTTATCCGTTCGGTCCAGTTTCTTTGGATGAATTTCTCAGGATAACCGTTGCTAAGTAGCGTCTTCCTTATGTTTGATAGCTCGGCCTCTAGAGTATCTGCAGTGCAGATATGTTTCGCCCTGTGTAGAATACAGCGTATTAGATTACGTTTGTAACCAAGTGGCACAAAACTGTGAAAGTTTGTGTACTGGCCACTGCAGGTGGCTTTCCGATACACCTTCCTCTGGATCGAGCCATCAGATCGTCTGGTTAGGAGTACATCAAGAAACGGTAGGCAATTTTCTTCTTCCATCTCTGCGGTGAACATGACTGCGGAGTGCGTAGTGTTGAATTCGCGAGATATGTCATCTAAGTTGGTTTGCGCATCAGCTATGCAAAATATATCATCCACATATCGGTAGCAGTGGTCCAATCGACTTATTATTCTGCGTAATGCGTGAGTCTCCGGTTTTGCCATGAAAATGTCAGCCAGAAGTGGTCCTAGATGTGACTCCATAGCAACCCCATCCTTCTGGCGATAATAAGTGTTGTAAAACACAAACTGTACATTCAAAGTGCATTGAAGAATTAGTTCTCTTAGATTGGCCGTTAGAATTCCTACGGATATTGCTTCTTCATCAACAAAAGGACAAATAAAGTCTACCGTTTCAATAAAAGGTACTTTAGTGAACAAATAAACCACATCTAAAGAGAACATTTGTTTTCCTGACATGTTCACATCTTTAATAACTTCAATAAAGTGAAACGTGTCACGGAGTGTATGTTTTGCAAGTTTCTGTCGTACGGGTTCTAAAAGACTAACTATCCATTGGGCTGTCGTTGATCTGGGTGGGAGCATTCGTGTCTCGTGCTAAGACACTGACATTGTTCACCTGTCAATTTGACCCAGATACTGATGTGATGAACAGCAATCACAATGCTAGTAAGCCGGGTTTGTAAGTAGTTTTGATGAATTTAGAGGGCACGTTTCACAACATGACGAGTCGAGCAGTGCATTCAATGTCAACCACAGAAGACTGTTGCTTTGAAGCCTGCCAAACGTTAGATTTTGTCAAGTTGGTCAAAGATATCCTAGCATGAAAGATGAAAGAGATATGTTGAAGGTGATGTGCTGCACTGAATTCGATGGAACATTGAAACAGTTACCCACTGGAATAGGAGACATTTCGAGATTATTTGAATGTTGACCGCGAATCAGAATTATTAACAACTAAAGGTAGCAAGGGTTAGGTGAAAAGCCGAAGAAGTGCACTGGCTTCTGAGAACCAAAATATTTTTTATTGCTGAATAATTGCAATTAACCGTCGAAGAAATATTAGCAATAATTTGTTATAATTCTCCTTGTAATGTCTAATTTGTATATGGATATGGTGTGGCTCGATTCAATAGACGATGCATATTCACTATGGCAATCGTATCTATATTTTTGTAAAAAATAACCCAGAAGTTCTAATCCTCAGCACCATCATCATAATCGCACTGCATTACACTTCAGCCCGAGCCCCACTGACCACTGCCTTTCTCATCATGTTGCACATAGAAATAGAAAGAATAATTATATACAACATGGAAACCGAGGGGAATTACACGGGTGGGAAAAGGCAATAACGTCCCAGCAACCAAGACACGGAATACACAGTCTAACTGGACAAACGCACATTGATCAACCATTCTGATTTGACAGAAAGTGACAACACGATCGTCACTGCTCTCGCTTAACTGCCATATTCTTCAGTGTCTCCAGCCAACTGGCTGAGGAATCATTTGGACCCCAATCACGTTGCCGTGATACCTCTACTTTTCTCAAGTTCGATGTACATTCCCACATTCTCCGCTGTCATGTCATCCGTTGACTTCCACGTGGCTTTCTCCAGTCCATAGGAGGAAAGCTGTGATAGTATATCCCCTGAACGAGTAACCACCACTCGATTTCTAACCTCAGCATTGTTAACCCCGTCATTCCACCCAATCTTACCGATATTACGCAAAATTCGATGAAAAAAATCGTCAAAGCGACGGACATCTTCCGCACACAGACTCCATGCTTCTCAACCATACAACAGAACTGGGCACACAACAGCACAGTACACACAAAATTTCAACTTCGGCGAAATATCAGGTTGGCGCCACAAGTGCTTTGGTCCAGCGTACGCTGCTCGAGCTGTTGTTATAAGCGTGCCACCACAACTGCCGTGCTCCCATCCTAACAAGTACCAGTTCGCAAGGCAGCGGGATGGTTTAGTGGAAGCTCGTCTGTGTGGATCGATAACTCTTCTACTGATTCAAGTGACTTAGCTGCCATCTCAGACCGACCCTCATCCATGAGCTCCAGGAGACTGGACTTCGTCTGGCATCTACCCATTGACCCTCCAGGTATGTTTGCATCTTCGGTTTAGGAAGCCATCTTGTATAGGTGATTGGGTCATAGAGGCATGCAAGACGTCACTCCACTTCAAGTTGCAATCTCATCATGATGGTTTCAAAATACCATTCCAAACATGTGTGAACCAGTGACGGCATAAAGGCTGCTACTTCGACTCCACAAAAACGTTTCCGTAGTAAAATTTACGAATCTGAGCTATTAAATTGTAATTCCGGTCACATTCACGTTGTAGAATGGTTGAAATGGTCAAAATACTTATTTTTAGTCTAATTTGTGTCAGAAATTATACCAACTATGTGACATCTTCAGTTTCGATCAACCCACCCCTCCTTGATGGGAAACTGTTTAAGAGATCCAGGGTTATGCTTGCTGATAGGGCGACAACAATCTAAATATGCACAAATGGTGTTGTTACTCAACTCGACTTCATTGTCAGGTTTTGGATATCTCTTATAGCTAAGGAGATATTCTTGTTGTGCAACGGTTTAGCATTTGAATTGTACACGAGTAATTTGCAATTCACAATCGAATAAGAAATTAAACACGGGTGATCCAACTTGATCACAATAAGCGAACAAGTACTCGCAGAATTACCACTAACAAAGTTGCTGCAATGAGCCAGTGTACGTGTGTAGTTACAGCAGCTGTAAGGTTGACACTTTTAGGTAATAATTCGGAATTCCTATTACGTAAACCGTATTTTCATTTTAACTACATTTTTCGGTTGAGGAAACCAAAACTCACAAACTAACTGCTACCATCGTCATCAGTAGCCAAAATAGTAATACGAAACACTCAGGGTGGCTGCCTCTTACTGGTAAAGACCATGTAATAAACAAAATTTCGTGCATTCTATGGCAGTACTGAATAATAATGGTAGTTCTTCACGATAGTTTTAGGGGCAGTTGTGTTCTACGGACATATGAGTTCTGTTCAGAGACGAGAGAATATCACGGTCAATTACTTGGACCCCAACTTTCACTGAAACTCCGGGTCATGCGTCCACCTTTGAAATCAGAAGCTCTATAATCGAGTTATGCTCTTGTTAGAGCTCATCACTGATGCATACAATCCACCGAACCAAGGGCTTGCACCCGGGTCTTTTCGCATCGAACACGTGTGTGTTAACACTGCGCTACCTCGTTCCAGTCCGGGTTGATCCTAAACAATACAAGTCATTGCTAGACGTGTACAAATATGAATAAGAGAAGAGCGCAAACAGATAAAGTGTCCCAGTCCTGCGAAGAAGACCTGACTTTGTGGAGGGCATTCACTTGACGTTAGTTGGACAATGCCTGTACCTCCTGGAAGCTGTGGGGCATTCCTGGCTGTCATAGAGGATGACATCTGAACAAACATAACTCGGTGATCTGGATCAGCCCGAAGATAAGCAGGGTTGCGCCGTAGTAACACATACGCATTCCAAGTGAAAAGGCCATGGTTTATACCCTGGATTAGGCGGACGATATGCACCACTGATGAGCTCTAACAATAGCTCTGACCTGAGTCTAATGCTTCCAAATGCAGGGTTGGTCGGATGACCTGAGGTTTGTACTTGAAATGTGGAGTCCAAAGAACAGTCAACCAAGCAATATGTCATCAATCACACACACTACCCGTAAGTATTTGTGAAATAGGTACAAATACCATGATTGTTTTCATTATTTTGACTAGTGTAATCTCATTGTCCGTTCGCCCTAATTATCGGTTTTTCTGATCTTATGACTGGTCAGTAAAACACGGAAATCATGATAAAAATAAGAGTTATGACTACTGGTCTTTTCTAATCAGGGGTTATTTTATTACATGTATTCCGTAGTATTTTCGGAATACTCAATCCATTTTATTTGCCCTTTCTCTTAGTATCTGGCTTGCAGCAACATTACCAAACAAAGGAACCACTCGCATTCAACGAACAAATAGCTAGTTTCTATCGCATATGAGGTCACAAAATTTGGTTCACACACTAACTATTCGGTAAAATTTACCATCAGTTCATTCATTTATTTCATTGGGTATCTGGTACTACGACCTTCTATGTTAGAAAGGTTTTCTGTCAAGCCCAGAATCCGATGCTTTTGTACACCAGTTCAATAGTTTTACTAAAGTTTTAAATGCAATACTCATTTTTTACATCAAAATTCAAGACGAATATACTTTTCTGATTTCGTCTTATTGTGTTAACTCACCCAGCTATTTTCATCGCCTGTGGCGCACAAATCTCCCAAATCGATATTTATCATGTTGCGCTCGGCAGAAAATAACCTGAAATTGATGTACCAGAAAACGTTATAAGAAAACGTATTCACTCAGGTAACTAACGAAACCATGGTAATTTCGCCCACAAATCCTGCATCACAAACAGGCTAGTTTGTCGTTTTGTATCGCACTCAAGTTTTCAGCACTTTAGGCAGGTAAAACGCAGTTGATCTACTCTTCAGGTATCTCCTCAAATGCTTCATCTGACTATGGCATCAGATGGGTGCAAAACCCAATTGATAACTCGCACCAATGTATTTAGGAAAGAAAAGCTTCACAAGAATTCACAAATATACCAAAAATAATATTTCAGCGTTATATTTTACACAACATGGAGGGCGACAGTTTTGCGGTGAATTCAGAATGGGAACTATAATCCCTAACAGACGTCTGATCTAGTAATTGCAAAACGACTGGGTCGACGGTACAATACTCGGACAGTCAACGGCGAGCAATAGATGAAGCCAGTTCACCCACTAGCTTAAGTTAGAACGCAGGTTGGTGAGCAAACAGGAAGGATATTCAGCATTTCATTAGCCAACTGATAAAAACGGTTTGAGGAGTATCGATTACAGCAGTTTATTTGATTTTCTCAGGGCGGAGCAGACAATCTCGAATATCGACTGAGAAACACACAGCCAATAAATGAGAAGAATTAAATTGTAATAAAGTTTGAATGCTTTAGGAGGTACAACTTGAAACACGCAATAAATCAGTGAGCCAGAATTCTTTGAGTGTGAAGTGATGTTCAGCGAACGTAATTATTCCATCCTAGCCATCGCCTTCATACTGATGAAACAGAAAGACGTGTATAATGAAGTATCATTATTGTAAAGCAGCTTTTCAAACAACGTTCTTTATCAGTCAACCTCACACGAACTTCTTACTTCCAAATAATACGAACGTTTGAGACTCACGTCGGTCTAATTAGGATATTCGGGCATCTCATGCCAGACCCGATCTCTCCAATAGTTGCATTTGCCATCTGAGCTCCGTTCGACACTGTACACTTCAAGTTTGTTCGCACAACACATCCAAAATGACGCAATTGAATTCGGTACAATAAATGGTTGGCATGCATGTTACCAGGACTTGTGTTGAAATTCTTGTCCGAGTGGATATCCGGTGTTCAAAATTCGAAGTGGCACATCTATTTTTGGTCAATTAGGGTTCAACGCAACAGCTTATTTACAGGCAATTTCGTTAAAAGTTTTCGTGGAATTTCTACACACCTACAATTTTGTTTGTTTTATATGAGGCCCACTTCGTATCTACCTGATTGTTAGCAGATATGAGTGCAATGTTTGATTTAGTAACAACATACGTTACTTTACAAAGCTATTCAGAGGACAAGGGCCTGGGATACAAACATGCGACAATCCATGGAGTTTGAGCATAAATAGTGGTTGTTCTATCAAAGCATGTACATTTTGGATTGTCTACTGGAATCCTAAAGATATACGTGATCAAATAACAGACATTTTGCCAAAAGTAAGGACCCACTGGTTCATCTCAGGTTAGTTTAAGAACCACAAATTAGAAGTTGCACAATTTGAGTGTGAATGATCATTCTGGACAATTTACTATTAATCGATCTGAACTGCATCCAATTGGTGCTCGTCACATTTGGTCAACGAAATACAGAGCTATATGATTGACGATTAAACAGTTTGTCCTTCCTCTCGTCTTTGATGTTATTGATGTACCCTACCACGAGCTATACGTCAAGTCACATTTACGTGCAATATTTCAAAGCATTTCCATTATTCATCAAGTATAATACTTACGATATTATGAATAGTGAATTTATCACAGGTTTTCATGTGTTTGCTGGTTTTCACAAATAAACACAGTATCGTCTAGTAAACAAATAAATTTGGATTTCAATTCAATCGGTTGTTGATTCTCATCGAGCAATGCACGAATGATGACCTCATAATTGCCCCGTCCATTCCACTTGAGTAAATAGGGGTATGGTTGTCACTCAAAGACAGTTCCAGAAAAATCATAGTAGTAATATTTAGGGTAGAACAAAACTTTTTCTACTCACGTTATCTTCTTCATGCCCCGCCTCTGCGATTCCAATCAACGTTTGGAAATTGAATAATTATTCAAAGAGTGTTTGATTAAATATCATCGATCATAGCTGAACGAAGAAAAGTCAGTTGAATATCAACCACCGAACACTTTTGTTCATAAATCTAAGCGCGTGTTCAATTAACACCCATCATCTTCATTCCACAACTGCCAACATGATTCACAATATAATGGACCATGTAAAGACTGTAGGAAAAGTTGAACAGGATTATTTTTCGGAAAAATGAGTAAATTTTTATTCCAAAGAATTATTGAACATTTGAAAACAACTGTCGTATTTAGAACATCTTCGGATGTCTTTTGGCTCGTTACTGTGAAAAATCAACCACATGATGTAACTAATTAGAGAAAAAGAATACATGCATGTAGTTAGAGTGACGAAATCCCAAACCGACCCATTGAATTCAGTTTCACTTATTTAGCAAGTGGTCTGGGGAAAACTCGGTGCTAAAAATGCATCCATGGAAACCGTTATGCCAGCTTGTTTTCAATCATACTTGCTAACATTTGACTAGGCGCATGTAGAGAGTTTTTCATCCTTTTGTCTAGTCAAATGCAAATAAGCTTCCTTCATCAGTTCACTGTTTCCTTCCCAGCAAAATTTCATTTTTCAACTTGATCACTAAACTTATCAGATTATTTATCAATTCAGGAATCAGAAGCAGTTATCTGAATAGATTTGCAAATTCGAATTAAAGCGTGTATTTTGAATAAACTAACTGAGTTTCTTTCGTGTGTTTTTGTGTCATTGATTTGACTACTCTTAACAGTCGGATAGGTTTTAAGTGTGCATCAAATCACGCACACGTGACATTCATTGTGAAACACATGATCAATTAACTCACACTTTTCAGACTGAGTAAATTGAAATTTGTCAACTTCCGGATTGCATCCCATGCGTGTGAGCCAACGAAACAGACCACATGTACGCGAACCACAGTTTCGGCCTCGAAGTGATTTGATCCGTCCTCTAAGATAGCTTTGACAGTCAAAGCCATTGATATTGGGGGCAGCATGGAGAACAATTCCAATGCTCCGGTTTTGGAATCAATCCTGAATGCGTTTTGCTCAACCCCTTGATTCTCAAGTAGGTACTGGATTCTACTTGTAGGTTTCATCTCGTCAACTCGTAGACGGATAACAGGGATCAGTCTGGGTATTTCATCTTGACAAATCGTCACATGGTATACGGGTTTTGTGAACGAAAGCTTCCCAACGACTAAAGATTTAAAACAGAACAAAACAAGAGATTTTGGAAACGGAACATGACTTAGTTTAACATCAGCAAAGGACGACTTCTACAGTGCAGTATTTCAAAACACAGTATTGCGGAAAGCAAAAATGGTCAGAATTGCAGGTAATCTAAATATCTTTCGTCATTTGTAGTTTGGGTTTCAGAATCGCTCAGGAGACACAAATGGCTGCCCGAAAATAATGAAAAAAAGATTTGCAAATGGAATTAATAAGACTGATTAGCAAAATACTTCAACTATTACAACTGAACATACCCAACGGAGAGTACTGTAGAAACAGTAAAAGTGTTGCTACATGAAACATGATCAACAACTTTCATTGATGACACCGTAATTGATGGGGACCCGCCCATTAGAGAAATTTATACAATGCCTACTGTGGGATGGCAGTTTTTCATTCGCCAAAATACGATTGGTTTAAAACTGAACAGCCAGTCCAAAATGTTCGGATAACTGGCCAATCAAATGTGAGAAAATAAGCGATTGAAAATATCGAAGCCGTAGCTACGAACAATGAAAGACAAATTGTAAGAACTGATGCAAATGCAGATCAGTTTAGCTTGGCCGTTACACACTGATTCCTTTCTAGCTGCCAAATGACGATAACAAGTAGGTATTGAAGGAACTTTCCAAATAGACGCAAAATGACTGAGAAAACTTTTCTTCGTATGGAAGTTGGTTCTAGCCTAAAACTATGAACAATTTACAGCAATGAGTGAAAAATGAATGGAATGAATAAATTTTAATAAAGTTTTCACGATGGATGTTTCTCTTGAGGTAAATTCTGATTACTAAATGAGATCCACCGTAAAATCGTCACAAATGTTCCAGCTATAATTCATACGGGTGTTCAAATTCGTGTCACTGTTACAGCTGTTTCTAATCGGCATCCTTATGGGCCAAGTCGGGCAATATTTTGAAGTCAAATCAAGTCATATGCCTGCAGTATGCACTCCATGCGGTGAGTATTCATCTGTCAAATAAAATCAAGTTTTAATAATTGAATGAAAAAGTCAAGCAATCATGGCCACCAGCTCAGTTATGGCTTGATCAGGCTTGTTAAGAAGTCTGACCAGACAGGAGAAAACATAACATTTGTATGATTTTAACGAGCAAATAATCGCAACTAGGTGGGGTGGAATGATTCTGAACACGTCTGACAGGATCTTGGTGGAATAGGTGTCAAGGCGTCAGCTAATGTTTTTTCGGACAGACCTGGCAAACACGGGAGTATTGTATTGCCTATTAGTGGTAGGAGAATATACCGCTGCACTAAGAAACAGTCTTCAGCAATCTGATGTTAAAGTAGAAGTATATTTGATAGACAGTGAGATGTCGAAAGTGGGCATGATAAATAGATACGCAGAGAATAAATGGAACCTTGTAGAACACTCAGTTTCAAAGTTGTGACGGAAGAAGCCCTGTCACAATATCATGTGAGTTAGTGGTGTTTACCGAAGCAATCATACAATCAAGCATTGGCAGAAGATAAAAGGCCGCGCGCAGAAAGAGCGCGGAGTAAATTCCCTTTTTCATTGTAGCTGAAGCTGTCATTTTATTCTAAAAGCGCACCATGCGAGCTTTACTTTACTTGTCTAGGGATGGCAAAAAGCAATGGCATAAATAGCCTTGGGCGTCCACAGTAATATGTGAAGAAAGTGGAGATCTAGCCTGTTCGGTAATTCCACTTGAAAGAGAAAAATGGTGGTTTCACATGACGGATTACTTCCAAGGACCTGTGGTTCCAATAAGAGTTCAGTATACTTTCAGAGTTTTGTAGATATAGGTCAGGGATAAAATTTAAATTCTCTTTTTCGTCTTAGAAATGTTAGCAGGACGTTTCCGGAAACCGTGATATGATGGGGCGCAAAATAGGCTACTTTTTATTCGCGCATGTAATGAACATATTTTGGTAGCTCTGGCTCAGATCGGTTTCAATCACCCTTCAAAAATGGTTCAAACTTTAAAAATCTTTAGGTGAATTTTGTCTATGAAATTATTAAAAATTATAATTTCATGAAGACTTTAGAACACCCCAGTCTGGTTTACTCACCTAAAGAGAAATGACCAAGGCTCAAGCAAATACACGAAATTCTCTACTTTGAGTAGCCTAAGGCAAGTCAATTCTCTTACCGGTATATATAAAATTTACCGCACGGTAGAATATGTGGAATTGTTTGTTTGTGGCTGGAGTTTATCGGAAGCTGTGATTTAGCACCACCGTGAATGGTTGGCGCTTTGATTTTGGCTTTCCGTGTTGGACTTTTTGATGAAAAATCTAAGTGGATTTCCCATTGTGTAATATCCATAATGCTTGGGCCAATGATTTATTTGTTGGGGGTATTTCATAGTCTATTTGGTCGTATTCAGTAGTGTGATGTTTGTCCTACTGGGCAGTGACTAACGAGGATAGTCCAGTTATTAAAACCAGAACATGTAATGTATATTCTTGAAACAGTGTTTTTTGCATCATTGTATATTCGTTTGTGTTATTCACATTCTACTGGCCGTAGTTGCGCAGCTCCGATGGTAGCGCATCTTCTCGGTAGTTAGAAGGTTGTCGTTTCAGTTCTGGCTGATGGCGTGGTACTTTTGGAGG